TGTGGCCCTGGGAGGGGGCTGTGCTTGGAGCCATGGCACCATCCTGTGGCCCTGGGAGGGGGCTGTGCTTGGAGCCATGGTACCATCCTGTGGCCCTGGGAGGGGGCTGTGCTTGGAGCCATGGCACCACCCTGAGCCCAGACGAGACCTGACTGTGCGGGCCAGCGTTCAAGGACAGCAGAGGGGAGAGGACACACCCAGACCCGAGCATGCATTCAAGTGGCGGAAGTTTAGCGCTGGGATCTCCTGTCTCTGGACTTTGTGAAAACTGGAATATCGCTGCGAGTCTTCCTGCCGGATGAGGGGCTGAGGCAGAGGGGGGGTTGGATGTGGACTGTGGATGAAGGCTGTCGACCTCTCACCGATTCTCTCAGAAACCCTAGCCTTTTCATGTCTAAATGCAACAGAGTCCTTGCCCAAGTTTAGATTTTCATCCTGGGGTCCTCCCTCCCCCTTTTCTAGAGTTGTAGCCGGATAGAATGGACCACAGTGGCCAAATCACTCTTGGACTGTGGTAGTGTTCTGAGTCCCAGAGCCCACCCTCATCCTGGCTTCCTCTGTCGGTGCTGCCAGCGTAGCAGAGGTCTCAGCTTCGTGTTCCTGACCCTGGCCCTGCTGAGCCAGTGTGCGTCCGGAGCAAGCTCTGAAAGGCTCAGAGGGGAGTGAGCGCAGTGCTGTTAAGGACTGGCTTCCCAGGGCCTGAGGGAGGGGGCAAGGTGGAGACTGCGAAGGGCCACACACCAAACGCACTTCATAAGTTATTTTCAAGGAGAGAAAGCTGGACCCTGTTGGAGAAAGGCTGTCCAGAGTACAGGAGTTTCTTGGAGGAGGACAGTGAGAGAGAAGAGCACAACAGTCGCAGAGAAAGGGGAGCTGCAACCCAGGTACCAGGACTCCACCCCACAGTGGTTCGCAGCTGGAAAAGCCCTGCCCTGTGCAAAGGAAGGCAGGGAAAGGCAGAGCTGCCTCGTCCGGAATCAGACTGGCACCTGGGGCCCCCTCGCTCAGGCTGACATCCAGCGGGAAGGCATCTGCTTGTCTTCCGAGTATCTGTGAAGAATTACATACGCTTGTAGCCAGGCTAGACCTTTGTTCTTATTCTTGGTATGTTTTCCAGTATCTGATGATGCTTTCTTTCCTGGAGTCAAGGCAGAGTCAGAGGACGCAGAACTTGCATGCTGGCTACGTGTGTTGTACGAGAAGGAAGAACTGTTCACCTGTTGACTAGAATGTATTTATTAGCATCAGCTCCATGCCAGATATCAGCGTGAGTGCCGGAAACACTCGCAGAAGCAAGACAGAGGAGCGCCGACTTCACAGAGCTCATACTTAGTGGAAGAGGCAGGTGGTAAACAAGCAAACAGCGTTATTTCAGAGTGAATCACACTCAAATGCAAAATGGAACCAAGCAGGGTGATGTTTCAAGAGCAGCTAGGGACAGGAGGGACGAGCAGAGGAGAAACTTGCAGACAGTGGCAGAAGTTCTCGGCGCAGCGGAAGCCCCAGTTCTGAGAAGACCTGAGGGAGAGGTTGTGTGTTAGAAGTTTTGTTATGTGGTGCAGAAGAACATCACCAAAAAGTCTCAGGCAACTAACTGTGGTCTTATTTACCTTTCCAAAAGTCAGTAATATGGGTACAAAGGTAGACAGTTCATTAAGAAGCAAGAACAGGAAGGAAGAATCAGAGTGGTGTTTGTCCGTGTAGTTAAAGGTGGCTGAAACTTGGGAAGCAGGAGCAGAGATCTTGAATTTATACGCTATATAGCACTTTACTTCTTCCAAAGCAAATCTTTATGCACATAAGGCTATGTTATCATTTAAGTAACTCACGCAGTGGTTACGTTGTGTGCAATATTATTCCTCGACCGTCTTCAGGCTTGAGGTCTGTATTGTAAGCGTGTGTTGTGTTTGCAGCAGCTGCTAACAGAGGTGTGAAACAGGGCAGGCCTGAGACCGTGAGGGAAGGAGTTTTGCCTGGGTGCTGGCAGGACACCCACAGACCCTCCAAGGAGGGCGGCCGCCCCCAGCCCAGTTATCTGCTGCCAAGCCAGAACTCTAACGGCATTGCCAGAGAACTTCATAATCTGATTTTTTAAAATGTGAGGTGTCCTGGTTCTTAAAAGTTGGCAACTAATTGAAATTAACTAAACAAAGCAAAATGAAGCACTGTAAGGATCCAAACCAAGGCAAAAAAGAAAAACAAAAAAGGATGACCAGTGCCTGAGCGCGGATTCGGCTCACCACCCTGCTACCTCGGCTGTGCAACCCTCTATTGGAAATGCCGTTTGAGAAATTTAGGTAAAAGTTATAAATCATTATTGTTATTCAGGTGGGGAAGTGAAAATATCCCAGGGCTCTGCAGAAAGTATACAAAATGAACCGCCGAGGTCGCTGCGGCTGTAGCCAGGGTGACCTCAGCTGCTCCTGTCCCCTTCGGTGTGCAGACCCTCGCTGGGCGAGCCCAGGAGGAGAAGCCAGGCTCCCCCACTGTCTCCAGGGCTGTGTCAGCAGATGCCAGAGCCAGCAGGCTTGAACAGCTGTGGAAAGTTTATGCCGAGAGCTCCACAAGTGTGACAGACACGCAGCGTGCTCCGAGCCCCAGGAGGCCAATTACAGCGAGCAGGCCACCGAGGACAGACCCGAGCAGCCACCACACCTCTCGGGGCTGCTGGCCAGGCTGTTTATTTTCCACTCTCTCCTCATCAGAAATGAAGCCTTGGGTTGAAGGTTAGTTATCCACGGGTTTTTGGTTGAAATTTTAGCAGAGGCATTTTAGAACTATTTCCTGAATAGAAAATGTTGCTTAGATATTAAGTTCATCCATGTTCCCATCGCTATCAACAGCCTTCTGAGCAAGACTTATCCTCCACTTTTTTATGTGTTACCTAGTCAGTCAATGAGTTGCAGCAACATGTTCTTTGAACAGAAACTGTAATTAATAAAATTAAATAAATCCTTTTGTCACATTACAAATTATTTGTGATATCTTTCATGGGAAGAAATCATTCTTAACTCACAGGAGTTCAGGCCAGAAAAGCATCCCTTTTCAAAGGAACTTTTATTTCATTTCTCTGTTGACTATCTTCAATATTTTTCAGTTCTTTAGCAGAGAATTCCTGTGTCTTATACACATGCGGAAACCTTTGTTAAAATTTAGTTTTATACCAAGAGCATCTTTTATGAGAAAACCTTACTGTAATTTTTACTGAAAAACTTTCTTTAGACCAAATGACCAATTACTGGGGTGTCTCCTGAGAGACTATGGAGATCACTGGGGGTTCCTTATTAATGAACAAAGGTTGGCCACTCCTCGATTCACCAGTTGGAGTCCTACCCAATAATTTCTCCTCATCCTAAGGACTGTGGTTAAAATATCTTAATTTTGATATCATTTAAATGAGCTGGTAACTCAGGAGAAAGTATGCTTTTAAGTCCATAACCCAAATTGTATTATGAACAAATGATAAAAGAAAAATTGTTGAGCTCAAAATAAGGGAGAACAGCTGTTCTCTGAATGACAAACATGTAAACAAGTACATAGAACAAACATCTTTACAAAATCAGAGTGCACTCAAATATATTTTTGACCAAATTGAATTATAGTAACTCTATTACAATTTTAGAAATTTATAATTTAAATAGACAAATTTAGTCAGATTTTGCCGTCAATTAGCAGAGACTTCTTATCAGAAAAATCTGGATAAAATACAATCCTTAATCTATAATGAATATATATATATATATATATATATATATAGTTCTTTCTATTTTATTGTGTCTTAAGAATACTGGTAATTTTCAGCTCAATTATCTCTATGTACTCTTATCATTTATTTAAATCTTTAATTCTCATTTTGATTACTATTTCCTGGACCTACCGGGTCAGTTTCTTTGGTTGGCCCCAGGTTGGGCTTAGCCTCATCTTGTCTATGTGCTGTAGAGCAGTCTCTGAGGCACACTGTCACGGGACTGCACATCAGCTCCCCCAAAGGTAGAACCAACTTCTCCAGATCTAAATTCATGATACAGCCAGATAGCATGCTCTAGCAAAACACAAACATATTCTGGACACCAAGTTAGCTTTTTTGTCATTGTTTTGCTTTACCTGATTGAATTGTCTTTCTTCCGTTGTACTTCTATCTTTTGTAAAATTTTAATAGATTTTCATTCTTTGTACAGTTTCAAAGAAATTAATTATCAGGACATTTTTAGGATCCCTCTTAAAAGGATCAATGTCTTGGAGTAGGCACACAAAGACTGTTGGGATGTACTTGAAAAGGGTCATTTATTTTGGTTTGGCTAGCTAAATTAATTACCTCTAAACATCTCAAAACATAAAATGTGTATTTATCCGTAAGATGGACTCTAATTGCAGGGTCAGGTTGATGGGGGAGGGAATCTTCTCCCACTTAGCTCCTTGCTAGAGCTGTTATGTTAGAATAGACCGTTCACACCTGGACACACCTTGGCAGGTGTCAGTACTAAGCAGCAGCTGATTGCTTTAACGTCTGGCGCAGCACCTGGGGCACGAAGTCCTGCAGGAAGCCA